AGTTGCACCAAAGTATAAATCAAAATTAATTTACTTTCACTTATTATATTTTATTCATACAAAAATTATAAACATAAAGAGTTTCTTATTATTATCAAATACCAAATTGAATTTAAGTAAATAAACACACTTTTAATATTTTTAATTTATATTCTTTCTTTTATTTTAATTATGATAAGTATGAAAACTTATTCTACTATTCTGAACTACTTACACAATAAGAGAAATTTATATATTCTCAACAATTAAGCAACAACATTTATGTACGGAACATATTCTACTATTCTGAATTACTTACACTGTACAATAATAGCAATTAGCTACTCAATGACTTCGTTAGCTTCTAAGCATGTTTTCATGATAAGGGCTCATAAGGTCTAATGATACCCAACTCAACTAAAACAAACGAAGAATCATTATATCATCATTAATTTATGTATTAAAAAAACTATGAAAATTTTTTTTGGGACAAACAAATTCCATGGACATATCAATATCTCATAACGTAAAAGTGACAAATGCAGTAATAGAATATTATGTATGTCTCCTATGCTGTAAGAATACTAGAATACGCATATCATGGGATAGTTTATAAACCAGTATTCATCCATACACTTACATATAAAAAGTAATACAAATTATATGTAAAAAATTATGTTTAAAATACCAAATTATCTAATAAGTAATAACACATATCACAATATTATATATGTGCTTTCATTAGAAAATATCATAATGTAGAAACAAAATGAAAACTGAAATGTGGTATTTGGTAGTATAAATATATTTTTTATTTGTGTAAGAATCGGGGTGTAGAAACAGCTGCCCAATGAGAGAAAAAGTCCAGATGAAGCCCAAGTAAGGTTCAATTCCAAAATCAATTGGTGGAAGGGTAGTAAACCATTACACTTATAAGTTAGGTCTATTTTTTCCTGTGTAAACGATGTGGGACAACTCACAAGTGTTATTATATTCTAATAATTGCAAAACATAAAATGAAAGTACAACATTTGATAATATACTTGTGTGCTTATTTTTTTTTTAAGGAAGAATGTGGTACTACAATGAAAACTTAATTAACATTGGCATATCTCCAATTTAATGGAGATAAGCCTTTGAAAGGCCATCAAACATACAAAAATTAATTAAATAAATAAACAATACAATTGAGACATGGAAAAAGAAGAAGCAATTCTAACATCATTATTAGCATCATTTTGGAGAACTTGTAGTCTTGTACAATATGTTTGGCTCATCACTTGAAAACACTGTAAAAAAAGCTTTCTTGCTTCTCTTCTACTTTTCCCCCTTCAATGGTGATAAAAGAACAGACCTCTCTCTCAGTCTCTCTCTTNTGATTTTTGGGTCCCCAATGGTTCATAATGTTATTTTTGCTTTTGTTTAGGCTTTAGAGAGAGCTCAACATTCTCAAATATGATGAAGAATTAGAAAGGAGCTTTCTTGAACTCTGTTTCTCGTTCGTCTAATTTTGTTACACAAATTTACAATGCCTGCTTTTGTTTTCCATTTTTGAATTCTTGTAAAACAGCCTCCCTTTGTTTAACTTTAATCGACGACAAAAAGAAAATGCTTTCCGAAAACCTATCCGCAATTCATTTGCTGATTTTTTTCTGCCTGCCCGTAATAAAAATCGCATCTTTAAACCCCGACGGCCTCGCCCTACTCTCCTTGAAGTCCGCCATGACCGCCGCCGCCTTCCCCAACTGGAACAAAAACGATTTATCCCCCTGCGGCTGGGCCGAGATTGCGTGTGCAAACATCTCCGGCTCGAGCAAAGCACGTGTCGTCGGGATTTCCATCGGCGGGAGGAACCTCCGTGGGTACATTCTGTTGAGAAACGATGATAATACGAATTAAAGACGAGAAAAATAAACAACACAAGATTTACGTGGTTCGGCAATGTGCCTACGTCCACGGCGGAGCGATCTTTTTATTATTCTCAATAATACATCAATACATCAATACACCATGTATTCTCACTCCGCTCGGACACTCCGCTTCCCTCGCTCACTCGGACGCTCCGCTTCCCTCGCTCACTCGGACGCTCCACTCCCTCGCTAAGCTCGCTCCACTCGCAGGCATCAGCCTGCCTCCTTCCTTTGTCAATATATGAGCCATATCAACACATTCCGTCAGAGCTCGGCAGCTTATCTTATCTCCGGCAACTGATTTAACACGGCTCGATTCCCCATCAGCTGTTCAATCCTTCATCACTGCACAACATTTTCCTCTACGGTAACAATCTCTCTGGTTCTTTATCTCTCTCCCTCTGCACCCAACTCCGCCTGCAGAACATCGACTTTTCCAAAAATTCCCTCCCCGGCCAACTCCCCAAGTGCCTCACCAACTGCAGACAGTTGCAGCGGCTGAGTCTTTCCGGAAACAAGTTTCCCGGCCATGTTCCGGGAGCTCACGAGTTTAAAGCACCTCGATTTGTCCTCCAACGAGTTTAAAGTACCTCGATTTTTTCAACAATGTTCACAACTATCTTATTTTTTAATATAATAATATAAATTTAAATATATTTGATATATATAAATTTATATTTATATTAAAAAGTATATAAATAGATTAACTTATTAAAAAAATATATAATTGACCAATCCATTCAACCAATTATGACCGGATCATTGAAAACTGGTTCGTTCAAAGGAACTTAACTGTTAGTTGAATTATTCTCGATTCAACTGCCAGTTTGGTTCAATTTTCAAAACAGTAATAATTGATATTATTTTTATTTTTAAATTTAATTAACCTCTAAAGTTCTATTCTAATAAAATTAAATAATTATTGTTTAAATATATTTATTATTTAGTTAAAAATAATTTGAAATATAGAATACATTGCATAGTAATTAATTTTTTGGTGTCAAAATTTAATTTTTACTATAAAAGATTGTTATATACTGACGATCCAAAAATTGCAACGAGAAAAAAATTGCGACCCAATTCTCTCTCTCTCTCTCTTCGGCACCCTAGATCCCCTTTCCTCTCAACTCGGCGGCATCAAATTCTCCCTCCTGCCGGCGTTTTTTCGGCTACCTCAACCCAATTCGGGTCAGGCGTGGTGGATTGGTGTCTTGATGGGCCCTCTCTCCGAGTTCCCGGTGGTTCGGCAGCGGGTTGGGGGTGTCCAAAGAGTCGTTGGCTTTCCATGGCCACCGGCTCCGAGCGCTGTTTGGGCAGCTTTTTGGGGTCGGGTTTCTTCGCTGCTAGCTCGTGCCTTGGTCCGGTTGGTCCCTGGTGTGGGGATCGATGGGCTTCATCGGCAGCAGTAGCATCCAGTCTCGAAGGGGATATGGGGTGTGTGGTCTTCGGTGTTTGTGTGGGCGCCGTTTGCTTTAAGACGCCCGAATTTTTCGACGGTGCTTGCTGTTGGAAAGGTAGGTGATATTCGGGCGGGTTCTGGTTAGTCGGCTTCGGTCTGGAGTTTCTTGCTTCGTGCTCGATGTCAATGCCTTGGGGTTTGAGGTTACCGGTTAGCCAGTGGACAGAGTTTATTCTAGTATTTTCCTTTGTGTTTTTTAGTTTTTTTTTTGGGGATATTTTGTGGTGTTTATTCTCCTTTTGGGAGCTGTGGGTGTGTTGCGGCTGACTAGGCAGCCCCTCGGATTGTCCTCCCATGGGATACAACTGTGTAGTTGCTTTTTCCAGCTGTCTCCTTCATTTGTATCTATGTGTTTCTATTTATGAAAGTATGCCGTTTAGAGAAAAAAAAAACATAAAAATTGCAACAACAAATAGTAAAAAACCATATTTTTCAACATTTGAGACTAAGGGCATGTTTGTTTGCTAAATAATTTATTCAAAATGAGTTATTTTAGTTAACTAGTGCTAATTTTGAAAAGGTGGTATAGTTAGTTGTTAATGGAATTTTAAGAATGTATACATTAATATTTAAAATAAAATAATTATATTGATTTGAAGTAAAAGTAGAAGATAAATAATTGAAAATAAATGGACATGATAGGTAGTTATAAATATGTGACTGAATGAATAATGAATTAAATTTGATGTGATGTGTAAGAATGATTGGTTTGCATTATTTAATTATATGAATAATATTAAGGATAGTGCGATTGAGTTAAAAGTGAGTTAGATTTTGAGTATGAATTAAATGTGAGTAAATTGTTTGGTAAACAAGCATGTCTTAAGTTTGCAACACGGTCAATTTTATGAGATTAAATTTGTAATTTTTTTCTTTTTCAACCTAACGACCAACGGCCACGTGACTCGCATGTGACACCCCCGTTAATGTTAACGGCTTTGGGACTACTTTTCGTAAGAAAATAATAAGTTAAAGACTGATTTTCCACCAGATGGGACTAATTTTACAACGGGCCCAATCCTACGGGACGAAATTTGCAATTTCCTCTGTAATTTTGAAACTTATAGTATTGTGCTACTATCTTATTATTCTTTGAATTTTACTTTTTCATAATGAAATTCTCAATAATCTTACATTTTTTTATACTTTATGGTGAGTTATTGTAAAAAACATCCACAACAGTATTATGTGGAAAATTAATCACACATAAAAAAGTTTACTTAGGAAAACAAAATAGACATATAATTTATCGCCATTGATTAATAAGTTGTTGGGAGTTTCTCCATAATTTGGCAACACATGATATGAATGCATTATACGGAGGTTGTATTCTGTCTAACCTGACAAAACATAATCTGATCAACTGTGATTGTCGAGTGTATTGTACCAAATTTCATGTTGTGATGAGAATCTGGAGTCATAAAAATAAAATAGAGAATTTTTTGAGGAAGAATTTCAAATTGAGATTCAGATTTTTTGGCCAAGTTCATCATTTTATACATTGTGAAACTTTGTGTTGCATCTCAAGGGACGATCGTAGGCTTGATAATTGAGTCATACTGTTGTAGTACTTTTTACCGGAGTAGATCAAAAGATTCGATCACCGAGTCATATCTCAAGGAAGATCAGCCGGATTAAATTGTACGAAGTCACAGAAAAATAAAATAATCCTAAACACTCTAATTCAATAATTTAAGTTTTCAATTATCAACTACAAGATTAACTACTAACGATTCTCCAACGAGGTAATTTAATCACACAACTTCAAACACGATTCAAATAGTGGTAAAGAGACTAGGGTGTCGGGGACAATCGTTTCCGGTTCTCAATACATTCAACAAGCAATCAATTACTCGGATAAAGGACTCAAAACAATAATTCATCAAGAGGTTCATTCTCAATAACTCACGTAACAAGAGAATTAAACATAAACGAACAATCATCGAATTAATTAACACATAGACAATATATTTCCGAACAAGTCTATTCTAAACGAGCCAAGATCGATCGATTCCTCCCCTTTCGGTTCTAAAATTGATTAAATAGATTAGGATGGTGATCAATCATCTAACCCTAGGTATAACACAACTCGTTTAGATTGAGCACTTAAAGTACACACAAACGAAATTGAACCGGAACAATTATCCTCTAACCCTAGTTAACGAATTTAGCTACTCATCATAGATTCAACATCCACATTCATATCAAACAAAGCCATAACATTCATCACTGAAATGAAAAAGAAGCTTACGATTAATAGCAAATCCAATGTCGAAAAAACTACGAGCAATCCAAATCCACAAGTTGAATCTTGGAGTTTTCACTATCCAAGATCAAATTCAATGAAAACTAGGTGAAAGATGTGTTATGGAAGTGAAAAACGAAAATACAAAGTCTGAGAATAGTGAAAAATATGCCCTAGCTCGATCTAATAGTCTCTCTAATTCAAAATCCATGAAAATCGCGCCTGCTGTAAAACAGACCTTAGCGGCGCTAAGGTGCCTTAGCGCCGCTAAGGCATCTTAGCCATACGATCCTGAACCCGCTAAGAAAGAAAGCGCCGCTAGTCTGGGTGTTCTTAGCGGTGCTAAGGCCCTGGCAGCCCAAAATATAGCTTTTTCTCGGCTCGCGTGCTCGACTAGCGTTGCTCGGGTACTGTCCGAGCTGGAAACTCAACCTCCGCATGTTTGTCGCAGGAACTGGGACGACCTGAAACCACCAAAGCCGGACAAACACGAAAAGCAAGAGAAAATAAGAGAAAAGACAAAAATAACACGAAACACGACTAAATAACACTAAAACACGAGAAATGACTAGACGGACCGGTAACACCTAAGAAACAACCTAAAACGGGGGAAAATACACGCAAAACATAAACAAAAATAGCAACAAAAATGGGACAAATACATACATTGTAAAGTTCATTTAAGAAGCACTCACTAATGACAATTTAGTATCTTGAAAGATTAAAATAATTATATCACGTAATTTTTCTTGATAATAATCATTTATGATCTGATTTCTTGTAACTCTACCTAGTAAATATTTGATCGAAATCAATTCACAATTTGCACGTGTTATTTCTATGTTGTAAGAACGGGGGTAGAAACAAACGGGTGCAGTCCCACGTAGATGAAGCGTACCATAACAGGGAAAGCCCATATAAAGCCTAAATAAGGTTCCATTCCAAAACCAATTGGTGAAAGAAGGAGAGGCCCACTAGACTTATAAGTTAGACCTATTTTTCTTGTATACACAATGTGGGACAACTCACAAGTACTATTATATTCTAATACGTCCCCTCACTTGTGAGTCCTTTCATATGAACCCCAAGCCCAACTGGGCTGGGTTACGGGTACGTCATCGCACGGTCTCAGATAGAACCGGCTCACGGTCCCTGATAGATCCCGATAGAACTGACTTTGATACCATGTAAGAAGTCCTTTCATGTGAACCTCAAGCCCAACTGGGCTGGGTGACGGATACGTCATCGCACGGTTCTAAATAGATCCAGATAGAACCGGCTCACGGTCCGTGATATATCTCCATAGAACTGGCTCTGATACCATGTAAGAAACGGGGGTAAAACGGGTACGGTCTCACACACGTGAAGCGCACCGTGACAGGAAAAGCCTAGATGAAGCCCAAGTGAGGTTCCATCCCAAAACTAATTGGTGGTAGGAGGAGTAGCCCACTAGGCTGATAAGTTAGACCTATTTTTCTTGTATAAACAGTGTGAGACAACTCACAAGTGGTATTATATTCTAATATACGTACAATGTATAAAATGGTGAACAAGGACAAAAAATCTGAATCTCAATTTGACTATATTAGAATATAATACCACAAATTAGAATATGGTATTATAAAATGGTATTAAAACTCGAGCTCAAGTCGAGTTTTTCTTTCCTATATATATGCAGTATATATAATACCATTTTATACAAGGAAAGTTTTTGTCCTTGAGATTCCTATATATGCAGTATATATAATACCATTTGACTTGACTCGAGTTTGACGAACTCGAGTTGAGCTCGAGCGGCTCGAGCACGAACTCGAGTCGAGCTTGAGCCCTTATTTTGCATTGTCGAGTGGTTCGTCGAGTGGCTCGATATATATATTAAATTACTAAAATACCCTTTATATACATATTTAAATAGCATAACACAGTGCTTAATGATAATTTCATTTAAAAAATTCGAGCCGAACTTGAGCCGAACTCGAGCCGAGCTCGAGCATTTGATTTTGAGTCGAGCTCGAGTTATTGTAGTTTCTTATCGAGTCGAGCTCGAGCAACTAAAAAAAAAATCAATCCTTCTCGATAAGGCCAATGCTCGACTCGGCTCATTTGCAGCCTTACTTAGCAACACATGATATGAATGGATTATACGGAGTTGTATTTTGTCTAATCTGACAAAACATAATCTGATCAACTGTGATTGTTGGGTGTATTGTACCAAAATTCCTGTTGTAATGAGAACCTGGAGTATTGACAATAAAATAGAGAATTTTTTTAGGAAGAATTTCAAATTGAGATTCAGATTTTTTTGCCAAGTTCACCATTTTATACACTGTGAAACTTTGTGTTGCATCTCAAGCGACAATCATAGGCTTGAGAATTGAGTCATACATTGAAAAAATTCATTTGAGATCCACTCACTAGTGACAATCTTAGTATCTTGGAAAATTCAAATATATTATATCATGTAAATTTTCTTGATAATAATCATTTATGATCTGATTTTAACTCTACCTAGTAACTATTTGGTCGAAATCAAGTCATTATTTCTATGTAATATGAATATTTTAGACTGAATAAAATAATAAAACTATTTGAAAACCAAAATCCACTGTGAAAGAAGATTGAGGTGAAATGAGATTCTCACTCATGGAAGACCAAATTTAGTGAACTTATTTCGATGTTCTAATATTAAAATTTATAATTTAACGCTACTGCTCTACTCTCATTTGAATTTTAATTTTCTATAGTGAAATTCGCAACACTGTTACAGCTTTTTCACTGACACATACGTCATAAAGAATGCTTTGTCCAAAAATATATTTCAAATCGATTAATTATACTATTGTTGAAAATTGAGCCTTATATCAAAAAGTTCATTTGTCCTATTATTGTGGAAAATTGAACCTTATATAAAAAAGACCATTTGTCCTATTATTGTAGTAGAACATAAAGTTTCTTGCAATAGCCATTAAGAATTTTATTAGTATCAAGAATCAATGACCTCGAGTAGCTTTGTAGATAATAATCATTTGTAATTTTGGCTTCTTTCGGATCTAACTAATACGTGATATTTGTTGAATTCAGTTCATAATTTAGACTTTTGCCAAATCTCTAATGTATTAAGAATCTCCTAAAATTTAAAACATAAAATAAAATTATATGAATAAAATCAAAGGATGATTTGATTAAGCAAATTCTTAGAAGTGATATGCTCTTGAATACCGACTTTAGTAAACTTATAAAATAAAATTATATGAATAAAATCAAAGGATGATTTGATTAAGCAAATTCTTAGAAGTGATATGCTCTTGAATACCGACTTTAGTAAACTTTTCTTTTACTATATTTATGTTGTAATATTTAAACTAGTACAATATCTGTGTATTACAAAATTATATTTAAAAGAAAAAATAATATTTTTTTTTTAATTTTTAAATACCTTTTTGAAAACTATATTATTACCTCATTTTTTTAATAAGTGTCATTTTGGATTTATCAACAATTAACCAAATAAATGACGTTTTGGATCTTTTGTACATATTTTTCTATTATTGCCCTTATCTAGCTAATAATAACACTATGTCTTTTCATATTCACTCTTCATCTTTTCGCAAAACATCCATCTCTATTATCATTAATGAGGGTTATTATGGGAAAAAAAAATTCTTAATTTCTGTACAACTTTTCAAAATGACACTTATTAAAAAAATGAGGGAGTATTATTTTTATTTAAAATGGCACCCGCAACTTATATGATTTACAATCTTATATTATAATAATTTTTTAACGTATATCATATAACAACTTTATAGTTAAACTGATTTAAATAATTTTATTTTAAGTAAATATTAATAGGTAATTTAAATTTATTATAAAATATAAATATAAATATAATGATTTATTTATTTGTATATACAATATAAGTTTCAAATAGAAGCATATCAAGATATCATTAATTTGAAATATTATATATAAAAATTTGATGATAAATAAAAAATTTATTAATCTTTAAATCTACCTAAAATTTAAGTTAAAAAATTATTTAATAATTTTAGAAGAAATATGAGGAAAAAAGAAAGATTAGGGAAATTTTTTTGCCTTATGAACCACGTCTATGATAGAAAATGATACTAAAACATAATTAATACTCTTAAAATGATCATAAATATCCAGTATATA